GGGGACCCCCCCCCGCGCGGGCGAGCCGGGGGCCCCGGCGGCACCGGTGGCCGCGGTGCCACCAGCACCGGCCCGTTTGGGCGCAGACAATGGCGGTTTGTGCCGAGGTAAGCAGGTGCATTCAGAGCCGTCCGTCTTCCCTCTGTCAGCATTACACCATCATTAGCTAGTGTCTGCTCAGCAGGGTGTGCCATTATGTCTCCCAGGGCTGATGTAATTATACATTGACATAATTAACCCAGCAAGCCCATTAAGCAGGCCAGCTAAAAATTCATCTATAATTATTTGTTGTGTGCATGCTAATGAGTCCATCTGCACTGCCATTGTACAACACGAACAAATTAATTTACAAGTCTGGATTTTTTAATAAGTTCAAGAAAATGCCTCCTATTGAGCCAGGTTAATATAGGTTTGGGTTGTTTTTGGGTTTTTGTTTTTTTTTTTTTGGAAAAGAAGAGGAAAGAAAATAGATTTGAATTCTCCAGGGTCAAAAAGTTAGACAAACAGGGAAGTGGGACGGAGCCGGGCGCACTACTGTACGGCACGGACACGTGGCACGCATCCAAGGGTAAAAAATAATAACGGTGATGGAAAAAAAAATCAAACAACTGACTGCCTTCACTCGGAATGGGACACAGAACAGGTCTTCTGCCCAGCAAGCCCCTGGCTGAGGCAGCAGCGGCGCAGGATGAAGGGGGCCCAGCACAACCACGGCCGTGCCACGGGATTCGGGGTGGTCTGGGGCTGCGCCGGCACAGCCCAACCGCAGCACTGGGCATCTCTGGGGTGAACCTGCCCGAAAGACGCAGGATTTGGCCTGTGACCCTCTCTGCAAGTGCCCAGCACGAATGCTCCTTGCGAATGAGCGAAGCCAAGACATATGCCTACCAAGATGGGGTTTGGGGGGGGGCCCCCTGCCCCTCTGCTGCCCTCCCATCCCACAGCATCGCTACTGTGGGGTGCAGGGCCCCACTGCAGCACCCACCACACCGCTTTCCTGCAGGACCAGTGATTGCCAGACCCCGCACGCTAATGCCGAAAGCCCCCAGAGCATCCTTCTCCATCCGTCCCTCCTCCTTCCTGCTGGACATCACCGAGACCCCGCGGACAGGCTGGGATAGAAGGTCTGTGCCCAGAGCTTGGCCGCAGGGACCCAGCGGGCAGTGGGTACCGAGCCCTGTTGGCACGCTGTCGGCTTTGGCACTGAATCGGTGACTCCCAGGCCACTCACGGCATCTTTTGGCTCGGCATCCTTCAGGCTGGCTGCCCATCCAAGGATGAGGGAGCACGCCACCGATGGGTGTTGCAGCAATGCGGCATGGTCCCGAACCGGACTGGATGCTCTCACAGCCATTAATAACACCCGTAAGTACACGAGCTGAGATAACGATATGGCTAATTAAACCCTGCGCTCTGGGCCACCGGCTCCCAGGCTGCGGGGGCCGGGCATCCCCCCGATGCTCCCCCGGCCCCGGGGGCATTGGCAGGAGGCTCCGTGCCAGCCTGCGAGCCGCCTCCGCAGGGATAAACGCCGGGGCAGGCCCTGTCCGATCCACGCTGGCAACTCCTCTCACCTCCGCGATGAGAAAAAATACGGGAGGAACTGGCCTGAGCGATAAAGCTCCGGAGATTTTCCTCGGGTCAGCGTTTCCCTTCCCACGAGCCGCAGCCCTGCTGCTGAAATACAGCCGGGGCAATCCCCCAGCGCACTGCTCCCCGTTGGGAACCGACATCCCGGGATGAAATGGTCGGGAGCGGAGCTTTTAGAAGGGAAAAGAGCAAGCAGCGCTCCGGCTCCGCTTCCTACATCAGCTGGGGCAGCACTGACGCGAAACGCCTGGCTGGATTAATTCCATTGTGCCAATACCATTGCTGTCCAGCCACTGGGAAAGTGCCATCCTCGGCCGCGGGGATGGCTCCGCCACCGCATGCCGGGTGTTTGGATGCACCAAGGAGCTGCTGGGACCGGGCACCAAGCTCACACCAAGCTCACCCCACGCTGACGCCACGCTGGCACTGCGCTCGTGCTGCCGGTGAACAAACCCTCCCGCTGCAGGGCTGGAGAGAGGATCCGTTTGGAACCCAGCGCATCGCCTGCTCGCACCAACGCACCACGCACACCACGTGCCGTCACACTCCAAGCCACGCCGGAGGGCTCGGGACACTGCCCACGGCGCAGGGGACAGTCCCTTCCTCCGTGGGTGACAACCCCCATCGGGACAGGTTAGAGGAGACGGCATCGATGCCGCAGCCGAGCGGTGATGCAACTGTGAGCTCCACTGCGGCCGTGACTCACCGGCGGCACGGCCGGGTGACAGATGACACGAGAGAGGTACGTGCCAAAAGAGGACCTCGGGGTGCCACGCGCTCCGGCGCTGCGTCCGCCCGCGGCAGCTCCTGCACAGCCCAGGGGCCGCGGCACGGCATCGCCCGCCAACGGCACCGCCGGCTCACGCGGGAAACGGCAAAGCCCTGCCGCAAAGCAGAACCCCCTGCGCTGCTTATCTATCGCTCCATACACTCACCCACTATATATATATATTTTATATATGCCTATATTGTTATTTTTTTTTAAGATATATAACAAGTGCTGCCACTAGCTGGCGTTATTGGCTGTCCTTTAGTGGCACTGGCAGTGCCGCAGCAGGGACAGGGGTGGTGGGCAGGGGTCCCTCCTGATGTCCCCAGCCCCGGCACGGGAAAGCGGAGCCGGGGGCTTTGCCCCATGCTGGAGGGGTTCTGGGCCACCGGCAGACCCGCTCCCGGACATCCCCGTGGGAGCACTGCGCAGTTGCTGTATGGCCAGTGGAGCTGCTCCAGGCACCCGTGGGATGGTGGGACGGGGCAGGAGGTGGCCTGGGTGCTCATCAGCTTCTCCTCAGCGTGCCCAGCTCCAGGGAGCACCCGTGTCCCTGAGGACCAACAGCTCATCCCTGTGCCAGGGCCCGGCCACTTCGGCAAAGGTCTCCGTGCCAGGGGCTGAAGGGTGACATCTGCTCCACGCTTCTGCCCGGCTTCAAGAGGAGCACGGGGCACCCATGGAGCATCCGTGGTGCATCCATGCACATGCACGGTGCATCCACGGTATCTCCACGGTGCATCCACAGTACCTCCACGGCACATCCGCGGTGCCGTCACCTCTCCCACCAGGGCAGCGCCTCCTCCACCGCCCCATCCCAACCTGCTCAAACACATCCACCGGCGCCCTACGAATCCTTCCACGAGTCAAAGTCAGCCTTAAATCAAATCATCCCCAACAACAATGACATTAATTATGCTTTTAACACATTTTACTGCTTCCCCCCCCCCTTTCCCTTCACGCCACATCTGTGTGAACAATATCCAAAAGATTTACGGTTTTCTCCCGTAATTACAGACACACAGCCAGCTCACTTATCAAAATACTTGCTGAGCAATCAGGCTCCGTTACAGTCTCTGCCAGAGATTTGTGTTGACAGCAGCCATTCAAAGCAAAAAATGTCGAATCAGGACTTATGTGGCGCTTGTAAAGTATTCCACAAAGAGTTCGCCTGTCGAGAGACACACGGACATGTAACAGACGGGGACAAAACGACGGGCGAGAGGATTTGGGGAGCAGGAGGGGAGGGGGGAGCAAGAGGTGGATGCTGCGGGAGAGCAGAGAGAGAGGGGGGGGGGTTGTGCAGAGATCACGGGGGAGCAGTTTTGGGGTATGCATGTGTGTACATGCGTGTGTATGCGTATGCATCCACATGCACGCGTGTGCAAGCAGGAGGAGCACAGCGGGTGAGCACGGGGAGGTGGGGAGGGAAGATAACTGGGTTCTGGAAACCGAGCTGACATTTGGTTCTTGTAGCACAGGAGAAAATTTAATGAGGACAAAAATATGTCTCCCTAATTCCCCTAAGAAATCATTAAAACATTTTGTTATTCCTAAATGTCTGGAAAATGAATTAGTGGCCCTGCAGGAGCCCTTCTGCGCATCTTCAGCCGTTTGCAGCTCTCCGTCCTCGCCGTGCCGGGGGATGCTCCGTGCCGCCACGCCTGCCGCAGCCGGCACCCCCGGCTCAGAGCACGGCAGAGCCCACGGCGGGGAGTGGAATCCCATCCCTTCACCCGTCCCTAGCACCAACGCTGCCAACACAAGCCTCAGGGCTGCCCCGTGCCTCAGTTTCCCCCTCCCAAGACTTCAAGCGGTGCCCCGGACTGGGAGTACACCCCAGCGTGGCGGTGAAATGGGGAAAACGGTCCCCAAGCCGCAGCCGGTGGCAGGAGCCGTGCTGCGAGCCGACGCTCGGTCATTTCGGTTAACTTACCGTCAAAAAGACAACTGGGGATAGCCGCAGTGTTATTACAAGGGCTGAGCAAATGTATTCCTTTCCTAATGTCAAGATGCATTTGGCTCAGGGGCTGAAACACAGCGATGGCAAAAGCTGTTTCCACTCCTCTCTTCGGCCGGTATTTCCAGAGCACCATGCGCGAGCGGAGGTCGGCGATGCCAGCCGTGCCGGGGATGGGGCCGGCAGCGCTGCCGCGGTCCTCGCTGGCTCCTCTCGGCACCGGTGCCGGCACGCGACTCGTTAGGCAGCCAGGGCGCCACCGCGTTGCTTACCTGGAGCTTCGATTAATTGCTTGTAAACGCTCAGGAAAGCCGTCTCAGCCTCCTTGCTTCTCTTACTAAGTGCAATCACCTGCAGGGAGATGGAAAAAGGGGGTGAGAGATTGGCTTGGGGGAGGGAATCGGCTCTGCGGGGCAGGAGCGGGCTCTGCCGGGCCACCGGGACCGGTGCCACCCGTGACCGGCACAGGGGTCCCCCCTGGCACAGCTCCGCGTCCGCTCTGCACCCCACGCAGCCGCTCGCTGCCTTTGGCTAAACTCCTCGCACCACTGCCGTGTCACGTCGCCCTGAATCATTGATGCGCTCTGAGTAAATGAAAATTATAATTTAATGTCGGCGCTTAAATAAGAAATAAAGAAGCCTGACTGTTGTTGTGCTTGCTGGGCCGCATCCGGCACACGGCCCTCCCCGGCCACCCTCCCCAGCACGGCACGGCTGCGGTGATGCCGTGGGCAGGAGCGACGCCTGTCCCGTGCACCAGGAGCAGGACATCATGCCCTCATCCCTCCTCGGGTGCTGGTGACACTCACGCCGGCTGGGTGGCGGGGAGACGGCGCGCTGCATCACTAATAACCGAACAACATATTAATCTGCCGCGCGCTCCCATCCAACATTTATGAGCATGAATCATTTACTCCTCTTAATTTTTCAAGGCGCGCCGACACCTCGGGGCGGGCACTGCTGCCCACCGGTCTCCGGCCCATTTTGTTTGCCAAGGGTCCCCTTGCCACCCCTGCGCATCCAGCTCCACCTGCAGCGGATGGGACGGGGTGCCGGTGGGACACATGGACCTCTGTGTCCCTGTCACCCTGGGCGCAGGAGCCAGGGATGGAGGTGACCCACTCCCAGCTGGAAAATGCCCAGTTTGATCCAAACTGGGCGCCTGTGCCAACCGGTGGTGGAGGAAGAGGCGCCCACCCGACATTCAGTGCTGGCAGACACCCTATTACCAACAGCAGATTAGTCAATTAAACCACTCTTAAGCCACTGATGGACTAAACGAAGCCCGGACTTCGTGCCTCAGCCCGGTGGCAGCTTCCACGCAGGAGCATCTTTTCCTTCTGCCCATCCCCTCTGCACCGGCGGAGCTCCCGGCTCGCCCCGCCCGCCCGGATTGCCATCGCTTGTCATTCAAACCCGAAGCAAACCGCTCATTTGTAATCCAGCAGCCACCTGAGCAAACCGCCTTCTCTTTCCAAGCTCGCAGGCACTGGAGCACAAAGATCATTTTTCTATTGTTAAAATTGTATAAGCCGGGCTTTTTATAGCCTCTCGTACACAAACCCACTCTCTCGGCACCGTGCTTCCAGCGGAGGAGGAATTTGGGGGCTTTTCTTCAGCGTTCTGCAAAAACGCTTGGCTTCAGGGTGCTTTAAAATAATAATAATAAAGTGGGGAAGAGAGGGGGGAGGCAGCAAGCAGACGGCGAGCAGCGCTGCCTGGGTATGGCAG